TAGATAGAAAAGAATTATCCAATGACTGACACAATGTAAGGGTATCGAACACGTGACTATCACGTGAGAAAAGTGATTGTAATATCAAACGGGTCACATGGGCTGACACTCAGTGACCTGCTATTTTAGTAGCAAACTCTAGCGAAATTTGGGCACATTTTTAAAAAATTAGATATGAGCCGCAACTTGGCCAAAATATTCCTTTGGATATGTATAATTTTTAGTTAAAATACACATTCTGTGCAAATGAGAAAAATGGTCAAGTTGCTGCTCGATGTACACAATGTCATTGAAAACTGGTGAAATATGAATAACAATAGAAATGAGACAAAACTGATAGACGCCCGTTTCAAAAGCTAGTGTCGCTTGGTATTATTTAATATCGTCATGTTATATAATATACCAAAACCTGCTCTTAAGATATTGCTTAATACATATAGAGCATAAATATAATGAATTTTGGAATTTTATTTTGCGCAAAACATCGGGATCGGGTGCAGTCATTCTTTAGGTGGAAAATTGACTAAAAATAATAAGGTTCATTCGCCTTTTTTTTTCTTAATGTCGACTAATCTTTTATGTTAAAGGAGTTAAAAAGAATTTATTATTGAGAAATACTGTTAAATACTGTTCAGTTATTAAAGTCAACAACCGACGATGATTAATTGTGTATTTTTTAAATTTTTCATATTCTCTTTATGACAAGTACCCCTAAAAATGGCTTAAATATGTAGTCACAGTATGTTATTACCATTGCATGTCTCACAGGCTGCACTACATTTAATATCAAGGAAACGTATCATGTGCTTTTGACTGATTGATAAGCGAGTGCAAATTTAACATTTTGAAAAGTTTTAAAATCTTGTGACGAAAACTTTTCCAACATAGGTTCTACCTTAATCAGGCCAAATCTTTACACATAATTACGGTAAAAAAAATTACGAGGGTTTGTTGAGTCACGTTTTGTCCGCCGTCACATTATGTCCGCCGTCACGAAATGTCCGCCATTTTTTCAGAAAAATCGTCACGTTATGTCCGCCGTCACGAAATGTCCGCCTCTTTTTCGGAAAAATTGTCACACTATGTCCGCCGTCACGAAATGTCCGCCTCTTTTTCGGAAAAATCGTCACACTATGTCCGCCGCCACGAAATGTCCGCCTTTCTCCCCAAAAAAATAGAAATATTAGGTCCGCCGCCAAGAAATGTCCGCCTTTTCTCCCTAAAAAATCGTCATACTATTTCCGCCGCCACGAAGTGTCCGCCGATCATCCAAAATTGTAACGTTATGTCCGCCCCTACAAAATGTCCGTCCAAGATTGAAAATAGTGTTTTATTTTTTCTTTTCGGTGTTTAATATATGTATCTTTAACCAAACGTCTAATAATGTATGCCATCAGAAATATCCACCAAGAAAAATTAATAACAATGGTCTGTTCTTTGCTACAAATGATTTCATTGAACTACATTGTTTCGGTCAATTAATGGAGATATGTTTCATTTCTCTTGATTGTTTACGGTTTTGAGAATTTAATGGCATGGTGTCAGAAAAATTTAAGCCTTACCCTTTGTTTTGATGCCAGTTTTTAATTGTAATAACAAAGAAAACATTGTGAACGGCAGGAGGCGGTGGGTTATTTGATATTAAAGTTTAAAGTAGCCTTGGTGCTCTGCGGAGTTTAAAAAATAAATTTAAAGTATTTTACATTGGCAGGGAATATTTATATATTTAGTGTTCAAAAGCTTAGCAAAATTGCGATATAAACTAGAGGTACTGTGAGCAATGAGCTCACTAATTGAAACCCGCTGCCTCCCATATGAATATAATGGCAGTGAACATGTTTTGCTCTGGAAAATCAAAAATATATGTCAGATCAAAAAGTAAAATAGGAGGTACACAATGGCAATATGTAATTAAAATCTGTTAAAGTTTCATTAAATTTCCTTCAGTGGTATGAGAGGAGTTGCGGATAAGAGATGGGTACCCCAAAGCGTAACACACGGACAGACGGACGGACGGAAATACCGATTTCTATATACCCTCCCACTTTTCAAGCGGGAGTATAATAAAAATTAAAATTGAATAAATAATCGTGTCAATGTTGTATCTGACCGAATCCTGATTGACGAATTTTGAAGCGCAGAGAATATAAGGATTTTCGTTATATGTAAAATTTTAATTTCTCACAAATACGAAATTTATGCTGCAGCAGACAAGGATAAAGCATTTTTTTTATAGTGTGCCAAAATAAAGAGAAATGCAACTTAGCGGACCTGGATGGAATGGGGGGGGGGGTCAAAACCCCCCTTAAGATATGTCTGAGAGAGAGAAAGAGATTCAAAATATTTGTTGTGCTTTAACCTAAGTACCGGTAATTGTCTCGTAAAGGCTACTTATTAAATTTATGTATGAAAAAATCGGTTGTTCAAATAAAATACGCGCCTGCAATATTGCGTGCACTGTTTTAATGTGTAGATTTTTATGATATATATTTTATTAATAACAGATCAAGTAATGTCAGTTTGTTGCCTCATAACATGAACATTGTGGTTTGCCGCTTGAGTCTAACTAAAGGGTTTTGTGTAGATATAACGAAATATGACGAGTTTAAACAGAAGTTCGAGCAACTAACACTTGTGCCGAAATGTCCGGGAATTATGAAAAAAATAAATTATGCTTGTGTATTATATACTTTATGTGTATTTTTATATAAGTTTACGTATTTCCTTTTCATTTACCGAGAAGTTCGGTAAAATAAAAGGGTAAATACGTTAAGTGCGACGTTTCTACGTCTGTATTCATTGGTATCTTTTCGAATAATTTAATGGCCCTTAAAAGGGCCGTTTATTGTCAACTCCTAGGAGCGACTCTTGATGGTCTTGCTTATTGAAAGCAAGAAGAGGACTGTTCCCGCCTCGTTGAAGTGGATCTCATCGGGAAGGTAATGTCTGGGAAATTTGACATCTATTCTGATGTAGGTTCGGCCAAGGATTTTCTTCATCTTATTGTTAACAGTTCTACGCCTTGCATCAAACTCCTCACGCTGCAAAGGAAATCGAAATTTTCCTCTAGAAACAATCTCTGAGAAGAAAATCTCGGGTTGTCTGCAGCTGGGACTCAAGACTTTAATTTGGTCGAAAAGGCTCGTCAGACAGTCAATGACTGTTGACGCCTCGGCTCCACTGGAAATGTCGTTTCCCCCTAAGCACACTACAACGATGTCCGGGTTGTACCTCAACATCTTGGAGATGATATTTGGACAAGGCTGAGAAGGTGTTATCCCACCAACTCCAAACCACCCGACTTCAAATGGCATGACAAAGTCTGTAAAGCTTGAAGCTCGCTTCACGTAGGAGGAACCGAATATGGCGACTCTCATGGTGGCTATAAAATAAAATCACAAATTTCACAGTTATAACAAACTCGAGGCAAATTATGTAATTAAATAATGATTACCTTTTTTGTCATCTATGATTAAAAAGCAGTTATCAAATTTAAAAAATTGCTATTATATATGATCTTAAAAAATGAACTTTTTGAAGTTATACTAATTTTGCTTTGAAATCAATTACCGTGTCGATCATAAATGGCTAATTGGTTATTAATTATGCCTAAAACAACCTCAACATGAAGTACGCTGGGAGTTCAAAATAACTGTTAAACTATATCATCATTACTGCTACTCCTAATTTAAATTTTGTTCGTACATCAATAAGACGATTAACTCTCATTACCGCTTCATACACGAATTCGTAATCGATGACGCAGAAACTGAGTCCTATATTTATATATATAGATTAATCACAATGTTGTCAAAGAAAGTTGGAAATCTATTTAATTCAGTTTGTTATCGAAAATTAAATACAATAGGACTTTCAAAAATTCCCGTGCGTGTAGATTTGAAAGACACAGCCCTCAGTAATGTGTCTTTAAGATAATAAAGTGTGGAGAAAACCTACCCAAATAACAATAAACCTTTTTTAAGTGATCAGGGAATACATCTCACATGCATGTCCATGTATAAGGTGCAGACAAATTGGAGGTGCATTGTAGCGATATATGTATTCTACGAAGAGGATACGAATAGGAATAATAATTTAACCCCCCCCCCCCCCAGCCCAATAAAAATGTTTTAAAAAACCGTAACGACAGCCACTACAAATGTATATCGTCTGATGAAACACGACGAATTATCATCACGTTGAGTTTCAAACAATACATAATAGATTGGATTTAATAAATGGTTTCAAACAAAGTTATCAATGTCTTGATTGTAGGGAATTCAGAGAGACAAATAGTTCGCTGTCTCGATAAATAGCGTGTCCCAATATCAATAATTATCAGTAATTACAGTACTTGCAAAACGTCCATAGTTTGAAATGAAACTGGATTTTTTTTTTTCATGATTTAAACATATTAAAAGCATTCAGTGTACCTAAAAATAATACGAGCTTCAATATTAAACAACTTTAAATTAATGTTCATAGCATTTTGTTTGGAAAGGGGAGAAGTGTCTCGCTGAAAACAAATGTAAATTTTTACTTCGTTATGCAAGACCAAAAACAGCACTGCTTATCCGTGTTTGATCCCGAGATCAAAACGAATGAATAAAAAATAATAATATTACACGCACATTTCTAGAATATTTCTGACAATTTAATTTTGTGGAGGCTTTCAAAGTGTCCTGCCCTGTTTTTCAATCTAGATTTTTTAAAATTGTTGTGCATCGATCATATACCAAGTTTTTTAAAGTTAATACCAGTTAATATTGAATAAAAATCACGTGACTATTGTTAGTAGAGAAATATTGAAATAAGGGTTGTCGGCAGACTTATAGTATATTCTAGGAGAGTTCTGCCAGTAAAACTGTTGCCCAACTTTTGCCACGTGGAGGCATCTCCTGTTAAGAGTCATCTTTTTTTTTTTTTTTTTTTTTTTAATAAATAAATATATTATACTCTATTAAATAAATAAATAAATAAATAGATATTTTTTTCTGTAACATGTTAACCTAGATTTGCGCGAATGTGGCTCCAACTGGAAACCAGCTCATAAGGAGACAGGTCGTACCACATTTTCCCTAATGATGTGTTTGGCGCGAATGGTGGCTCCAACTGGAAGCCTGATCAGAGAAAAAAGGCCATACCACCATATACTGACAGTGTTTGAAAATTAATAAATTAATAAGCACGATATTGAACGCGTATATACAAGGATATTTTTCACGTTTTATCCGTTACTTTTTAAATTTAAAATCGACAATATAATACCATCCGGCGATTGCTGTTGCCAGTATCTCGATGTAACCATTAATCCACCGGGAAGAAATCGGTCGCAATATATTCCGTAATTCCATCATTACTCCACTACCCGAACCCGACACACGGCCCAACTGACGAACAGACCAGTTGTGCCTTACGCCCTCTGCGAATACTGACCTACCTTCCAATAAAAACATGACATTTTCATTTAAGTATACTTTAGGACACAATTTATGAAGGGTGCCTAGCAAATGCTTGAAGTGTGTTGAAACCCTTATTAAAGTCAAAAACATGTTAAAATTTTTGTATATTACAAAGGATAAAATATGACGCTGAATGAAGTAAGGTAAATCAGTGAATTGCTTTTGGTTTACATTTTCTGTTTCCGGAAAAATTTGCTTACGAGCCCTGACATAATCACTTGGTGTAAACTTTTTAGGGGGTCGCACGTTAGACCTTAATCGGACAGGTGATAATACTGGTGGCTGTTTGTCTAAATTTGAATCGTTTATCCTATCTGTAATTGGAGATAAAGAAGGTGGAGATAAATAAAATGATGAGTTAAGACTTGGGGGAAATAACCTGTCTTTCTCTGTGGAGCTCAGATTGTTTGTGTCGGAGATTGCTGTTGGGGAAAAGCGTTGCAAAGTCGGCGTTTCCAATGTTGGCGGAACAGGAGAATCGATGTGGTCATTTGCAGTCTGAAATAATTCGTTGTCAGGAAAAGAAGCCGAAGGCCCTATGTTTACATGGCTGACCGGAGGAGATAACGAACTGTCGTTGGTGGATAGGTGTAGGTGGAGAATCGAATCACTAGAATAATCTGTTAGTTGAGGTTCAAGTTGAACTTCCTGTAACGAATAGTGAGAAAAATCATTACTGTGAACATTGTTATTATCTGTGTTGTTTTGGTTTGAGTTGAGATCCCTGTTTGGAATACACACTGTATTAACATTATGAAAATTAACTTCATTAATACAAATATCCGCCTGCGTGCCCGGTATCGGTTCTAACCTTATAAAATGAAACTCGAACTCATGGCCTAAATAAATATGTAAAAGATTTTCCCTATTTTGACGATCAAAAGGCAAAATGTATCTTAAGTCTGACTGGGAGCTCGACACAATACCTACTGCGATATTAAATGCGTTCGCGATGGCCGTGATGCAGATGTGGTCGCCCCATTCGGTACCCAGTATGCCCTCTAAATAGGTATCCCAGTCTAAATTAGGTACAAAGTGTGAAAAGCGGTCGCCTGCCGGTGTTTCAGGGTTCTCGGAGAGCCAGTTTACCACGATATCTCTAATATCTTGCTGATTAAGGTCGATTTGTAAATAATTAGAGAGCGATTGTGCAACTGAATGAAAGAGACAGCTACCGTCTTTAGGAATATCCCCAACGGGAATTAAATTTCGTTCAAGCGCATTTCGAACCAAATCGTCATGGGCTGTATCGGTTCTCGAGAGGCTCGGTCCTTTAAGTTGGTTTACTAAATTATCAGAAAGATAGAAATCCGATATATGCGGGAAATTATGGGAAGGCAGTGAACAGGGAACTTTGCTTTCGCGGCAACAAAATTTATTTAATTTGTGTACACAGTTTGGATCCGATTTTCGGGAGCATTTCTCATTGTTACACTCGCACAACGGATCAAGCCTTAATCGATGACGTTTTTGTCTTTTTAACAGTTCTTCGGAACGTGAAATTGCTGCTATGTTTTGTACATTTATCCAACGCGACACCCCACTGGAAAACCTGATTTTGTAAGAGAACGCGTTGTGTTTTGTGCCGATTATTTTTCCCCTTTCGAACCGCGGCCTAGCTTTATTGTAATTTTTCCGAGTTTGGGATTTTACGAACACTTCGTCGCCCACACTATAGACACTAACTTGATGTTTTTTGAAATGGTGCTTTATCATGGTTTTTTCGCGTTTTTTCGATGCCAGTAGGGCTGCCTTGCGAATGGCGGACTGCTTTTTCAACTCTTTCGAAACATTATTTGAAACGGTTGGTCCAAGACGAGTAGACTTACGCACACGATTAGATTCCCGTCCGTGATATACGTAAAATGGAGAAGCCTTTAAAGAGGAGTGATACTCCTCATTGCGCAACATCGCGTATTTTGATAAATCTCGAACCCAGTTCGAATCGCTTGTTTTTAGTAGGTCGTACTTAAGCTTTGATTTCCAGGATTTATGAGACGATTCAATTTTACCTTGACTTTGCGGGTAATACGGTCGGCTTTTGATAATTTGACAACCCAATACCTCGGTCAACCGGGTTACCGAACCATGGAATTCGCGACCATTATCACATTGTATGATTTTCGGCGGTCCTTCGCTTTCATAAATGGACTCCAGCGCGTCTGCGATTTCCGTGCTTTCTTTCGAGTTGAGCGGGCGAAGCCATACGTAACGACTGAAAACGTCTAGAACCGACAAAATATACTTGTACTCTACACCGTTATAAAATTCCGTGTGTCGCGACATATCAACTAAGTCAATTTGGTGGCGTTCTTGTATCGAAGTTGCACGAATCGGTTTAAGAGGAGCAACGTTATCGAAAATTGGATTGACGGACTGCTTTTCGGGAAGAGATTTAAGAGAGGTTTGAACCTTCCGATGTGTTACGCCGCTGAATACAGATTTTAAGCGATGTCGAATTTTTCGTGAACCAGCGCCCTTACTTTCCTCGAATGCCTGTTTTGTCGCGGAACTAATTTCACTTAACCTTAAAACCATTTTACCATCAACCAAAACATTGAGCTCCGGTCAATGGGTGCAGGCAATTGGCAACAGACAAAGGATGATTCTTTCTCCAGCGACGAATCATCCTTGCCGCATTTTTTTCTTCTAGTGTTGCCTTTCTTTCGTTGACAGTCCTTGTTCCTGAGATGATATCTGAAAAAATAATAAAATCTTTCATGTTAACGGTTAAATGGAGATACTGAGTCTACTAGTACGAGGGTTGTCCAAAAAGTTCGCCGGACTGGGCTGTGTAGTTTATGTATATAAAATGTATATTTAGATGACGCGCGTAAATTTTTGTGCATTGTTTTGAATTTTTAAAATTAAATAAATTATAATTACTTAAAGATTGATGCAAGCTTTTGGAAGTGCGTTGCGCCTTAAAAAGAAATGTAGTGTGGGTCCAAGAACACGTGAACAAGTCAAAATCTAAATGTTTGACGTTATAATGAAATGTGGTGCCATATTTCTGCCCCCTACATGCAAGATAAATTATGTTAACATGCAACATGATTATGTAGACATGCAACATATTTATGTCAACGTGTTAGTTAATTATGTTTACATGCAAGTTACTAATTTTATAAAAATATAATCAAAATATGGGTAAATTTACTTACTAACGCCTGTATCTGACAATTAGATGCAATATGCAACGTAATTATGTAGACATGCGACTTATTTATGTCAACATACAAGATAATTATGTCAACATGCGACTTATTTATGTTAACTTGCAAGAAAATGATGTCAACATGCAACTTATTTATGTCAACATGCAAGATAATTATGTTGACATGCAAGATATATATGTAAGTTGATATGCAAGTTATTATCTTGCATGTTGACATAAGATTAAGTTGCATGTGAACATAAATATCCTGCATGTCTACATAATATCTCGCATGTAAACATAAGTATCTCGCATGTTAACATAAGTATCTCGCATGTTAACATAAGTATGTTACGTGTTGACATAAATAAGTTGCATGTCTAAATAATTAAATCGCATGTCGACATAAATATACCCTGCAGTTGAACATAATTAACTCGCACGTCAACATAGTTATCTCGCATGTTAACATACGTAAATCGCGTCTTCTCATAATTATGCTGCACCATGCATCTATGAAGTCAGATACGGGCATCAGCACGGTATTGTACCCATACTTAAATTAAATTCCCTTTAAAGATTTGTAACTTACATGTCAACATAATTTATTTTGCATGTAGGGGGCAGAAATATGCCACCATAAATAGAAATTAGCTTAACGTCAGACTACCCCCTGCGCTCAATCTGCGATATTTAAAGACCCCGATTTTTACAAAAATATTAAGTTTCATGAAAAAATGAAATCATTCTGACCTGGTTTTTCATGAGAAATATTTTAATATACAATAAATGCACATAAAACCATTTATTTTCACAAAAACGTCATAGTCCACGAACTTTTTGGACAACCCTCCTACTTTCATGGAAAAAAAACAACATACATGTATTACTTCACACATTATAAATTATTTTGGTACTTTGGTCACATTAATTTGGTTATCTGGGTCGTTATAGGTCATATGAAACATAGACATGAATACATTGAGTATCACGCGGTAAAAATATATTTTCAGTAGTATTTAAATGTAAAGGCATCATTTTTTTTAAAACAAAGAAATCGTTACAAAAAAGAAAATATCATTGGATATGAGACTTTTCGGATGAGGGAAGAGATATGGACCTCTAATTAATACAGCACACATGCATCTTATCATTGCACGTCGGCTTTCTAAACGACATATTGATTCTTTTTCTTATTATAACTTTTTAAAAACACTTATTTTTTAGAAAATGTATGTATAATAATTTTAAAAAGGTTAGTTTTTATAAAGACGTTTCTTTCGTTTACAAGAACCCTATAATTGAAAGCAGATTTGTAAATATGCATAGTTGAGCTTGATAAAATCATCAAATGAATTACTGCTTAACATCTATATCTTTCTATAACATTTGATAAATTCTAAAAGCCATAAATATCGTCCATTTATTCATGCACGTTTGTATACAGAAACAACCTGTCCCACCTCCACGCTGAAAATGATACTTTTTGCGCCTCTATCACAGGAGAGTTACAATCTTGAAACTCGCGTATTGGTCAAATTTCCTATATTCACACAAGTTTTATAAATGTATTATGCATATTTTGTCATTTGTACAAGTTTGTACAAAGTTAGGATCATGGTAAACAAAAGCTTTGAAATGAATGACCGTTTTCTATAATTTACTATAGAAAATAACAAATGTCGGCCCACCCCTGCCACATTCTATGGTTTTGTTCTTTGTATATTCGTAAATTTCAGCGGTAGAATTTGTTGAATCGTACGGTTTAGTTATCAATAAATGATTTGGGATGAAAATTTTTGCTTTATTTGATTGTTTATTTTTTCACATTTTACCGGGGCCCATAAGTGCACTCTTTTACACGTGAATTCTTTTATTCTGTTTTTATTACCGAAAAGCACTACCTGAAAAATGTTGGATAGCATTTCTTGAAAAATGTTCGAGATGAAAACTTAAAATTGTTGGAAGTGAAACCTAAAAATGTCGCAAATGAAAAGTTGAAAATTTAAAACATTCCGGATATGCAATGCCATGTCACAATTCATCTTCATTACCCTTTAATTAATCTTATTTTATATGCATGTGAGTTTTTTTCTTTATCTTTTTAAAAATATTTTAAAAATGAAAATCATTATCATAAAATGTAATCATTCACTGAGTGATTTTCGAATCTGAATTTTAGTATGATCATGTATTCAAAGGTGGAGGCATGGGGGGGGGGGGGGGGGGGGGTCCTATACTTTGCACACATGTTATGCCTCTCATTTATGCTATTGTATCATAATTATATTTATTATATTAATTATTTCCCTTACAATTTTGACGACTAATCTATATAATGCACCTCATGAACCACTGGTCTGATGTTGGTGTGACAGTGAGTGAAATAAATGAACTTGAACTTGACTACGGGCACCTGTGCTTCTTCAGCGAGATATGCCTTAGATGTGCCCTAGCAAAACAACTCAAATAACCGTTTATTGTTGTTTTATTTAATTAAAGAAGAAAAAATATTTATATCGTAAATGCACAAATTATAATATAAACCATTAATCGGAATGTTATATAGCCAACTGTACATAATGAGAATTTCGGCAATGTAAAATAAAATTTTCAGAATAAAAAAATGCTGCGCTTTGATCAAGAATACAATTTTTTGTATATGAAATGAAATAAACATTAAGGGATGGTATTTTATGTCTTGTTTTTTTACGGAGTTTAATCGGGTTAATTGAAAATAAATACGTATGGATTGAGTATGGTACTCATAATCACAGCCAAGCCCCATATCCCATTTTTCTTTTATGATTGATATACATCGGGATCGTTTTACTCGTCATTTGAACGCTTTATTTTTGACGTTAAATTTGACGTCACGTCAAACGTTCAATTGAAATCGCAAGAGTTATCTCCCCCAGTGTGTTGTACGTCTTTAAAAAAACACTCTTTGATACTCTACTCCTTAAACACCTACATGTAATTGTTCATACCTATTTCCGTGTGACTGTCAAAAGCCGCATATTGGTAGCTCCGTAAACACATAATTAACCTTTTTAAAATTTGTGACTTTTTGAAAGTGAACGCTTTGGAAATCACAACAGGATGCTGCAATTTTAACAGGAGAGTTAACAAAGGGCAGTAACCTCTCCAAGTAAAAGTTACAATCTTTTGAGTAGCCTACTGCAGATAGATTTTTTTTATTTATAGGTTATTTAATTAGTGCATTATTTTAAAATTAAAGAAAAAGATTTATCTTCCAAAGGATTTGAGAAAAGCTTTATGTTAAGGTTGACTTCAATATAAATAGGGATCTGAATTATATAGGGATCGATGGGCTTGTTTTACTAACATACTCTAAAGTACTCTATCGTACTAGCGTAGTCTATTTAGTAGGACCGGTGATAAGTAAAGCCGAGATCGCCCGTGGGTTTCCGACGATGTGGTACATGTAATGTCTTGTCTCTGAAAAACAATTCTTTTGTGTTTACAACAGATTTTAAGTATATAATGCGTGATCATGCCATTAATATATGTGAATTATAGGCCTAAATGAAATCATGCGCGGATCTAGAGGGGGGGGGGGGGGGGGTGAGGCCCCCCCCCCCCCCCGTCGAATTTACCAGGTAAAGAAATGTATATACTAAAACAAGAAAATAGTGACCATGGACCCCCCTGATAAACGCGAATATGTGGTGAAATGGGTATGATGAGTGAAAGATTGGAGACAATAGAAGTCACCACTACCCCCCCCCCCCCCCCCCCCTTACGAAATAGGTTTTTGAAGTTTGGGCGAGTTCCCCCCCCCCCTTTTTTTTTTTTGCTTGTCGAGAAATTTCTGGGATTGGGTTTTTATTTTTGACTGTGGTGGACCCCCCCCTGGAAAAAATTTCTGGATCCGCGCCTGGAAATCATGCAAAGGACAACAGTTATGTGTAATGTGTCCCTACTGTTTCAAACGGGAACATTGACTCAAAACAAATGTATACATGACTGTATGTTATTCTTGATATATTAAGCTCAAATAATTAAAACAATACTACATGTAACCCAGAGAAGGACTAATAGCACAGCTGTACATTGGAATGTAAAGATTTGATCTCTTTTTAGTATTTCTTATGTTACTATATGTATCGAGAATAGGTCTACATGCAAAAAGACAGAGAATTGAAGAAAAATAAACAAGCGTATAAAAAATCCAAATAGTCTTTGAAAAGGCGAAAAATTAAAACAATAATATTAAGTGTGGCATGCACCAGAATGATTCGATACCTCGAATGTAAATTATCAGCACGTATTTCAACTGTTGTTCTATTTATTTATATTCTTTTTGGTGAATTTCAACTCAAGGGCAGTGATGCCCATTAGTCCT